CTTGGAGCTCCCTGCTGGTTGGGGAGGGGAGCATAGTCCCTGCCTGGGCTCCAGTAGAAGAGCCCTCCCCGGCAGCAAGTAGCTCCATGGGGCAGAGAGCAATCTCCCAACCCTTGGGGGTTGGCTGACAAAATGCAGATTTACTCCCAGTCAGGTGTCTAGACAAGTGCTACTGCACAGATAGTAACTGCAAGTAAATTTGCTACTTGCATTTGCAGGTGTCTGCCAGAGCCCCCATTGGAGCTGAAAAGGAGAATTTAATTAGAGACTTGGGAGAAGACCCCCAGAGTGTGGGAAAGTTTGTGTATTTTGGTCCCATTAGATTTCAAAGCTATTGTTGATGAGTAACATAATGGCCACAAACTTGACTTGGCTTTTGTGAAGACTGTGTTTTTATGACATACGTGGTCCCCTCTCTCCACTACCTAATTTACTCAGCTAACTGCAGAAGCAGGATTGAAAGAGCTCTGCTGTCTCTCTACTCAGTGCCAAGAGCCTGTGTTTAAGACTAATTTCCGATCTTTTTTATATATTGTCCATGTTGCATTTTTTTCAACTTCTAAAGATAAGTTTTCAGGCTCTGGGCAAGAATTAGTATTATATAATTTTAATGTCAAAACTGAAATGGAGTTCATAGCTGAGGAATTTTAAGGTAATTTATTTCCTTAGAAAACTAATGCTGCCCCCTACTAAAGGAAGGCCATACCTAGAACAGCCACTACTTTAATTTAAAATGTAAGGACAGCAAGAAAAGATATTTATGTGGACTTCTTGTGTACTTGCTTTTGAGCTTATAACTCTTTATTTCTGGTAAATGTACATGTACCAATAGGCTGGAAAAAGAAAACTTTCCAGGAATAAGATTAAGCTTCTTACTGAAGTCATCACAAAAAAAAGATAAAGGAGACCAAGGTAAGCGATTACTGTTTTCTTCTAGTCCTATTTTATATAGGTGAATATTCTTAAAACCAGATTTATCTTTATTATAAACAGCACCATTTCTCTTCTTAAAGATCCCCATGTGATAATGACAGAAGAAGTGGCATATAAATGTTTCTCAAAATATATCTCAGGTTGTACATTTCAATAAATTCACATATATTTTACTTTTTATTATTATTACTTCTACTAGTAGTACTAATAATAAAATATATTTTACTTTATTTTATAACCAAAAATGTGCTGCAATGTGCTTCTTTCAATGTGATAAAGACTGAAATGATATAATTAAGAATTGGGAGGTAGAAATTATTAATGAAAACAGATTATTCCTGTCCAGGCAGCTATGATAACGAACTTCAAAGGAGGAGGAAATGTTTGCAAAGAAGGGATAAAAGTCTGTCTCTCCTGGTGTCAATCCCAAATTACTCTTCAACCTTAGCAGGTCCAGGTTTTAACCCAGGCCATTTGTGAGAGCTATTAAAAATATCAGGTAAAAAGAGATTTAGTCTAGCTTACCATGTCATAAACTATTTGTGTAGTATATGATATAGCAATCAGGGCTCATGGACAGATGTGATGTCTTTGATTAGACCAACAAGAATTTTGCAAAAAAAGATTCTTTAATTAAAAGCTTTCAGGCACAAATACCCTCATCAGGAATCAGAGAAAAGATTGTAAAAGTTCTGCTGGGTAGAAATGAAAGTTCATATTTCATAGGATTTCACAGAGGAGTCAATAGATGGAATAACCCTCTGGGCAGGCAGGTCTCACCTGGTAAGGAGTCTCAGCTTTCCCGTGAGGCTAATGCAACTTACCTTAGACAAAGGCAGGAGTAATAATATATATGTATAATATCATGTTTTATACTTCCATTTATAATGACTTTAAAAAACACCCTATACAATGGATTGTTTGTTTTAAGTGCTTCACAACTCCATATCACACAGTGACTTGGGGGCTGTGTTCTCTCAAAGAAAAAACTATGGTTTCACTTTTTCAAGACTTTCCCTTGTCTCTAACTTTGCATGTGAGGGGCTAAATCCTAATTATCTTTCTGTCCCTACATGGTACGTACAAAGTTTGGTAGCTATAGCGATCTAGCGTTTCTAGTTCACTCTACCCGAACAAAAACAGGCACCGAGGCCGAGGACTGCAGAGCCCCAGGGAGATTCAGGAGACCAAGGATGGTTTGAGAAGCTGGGTCCGGTAATAGCACACAGTCCAAAATAAAGTCAAAGAAATCTAAACAGCACTTCTAATATTGGAATACAAACCATAGTCAATTGCTAAGACAATACAGATAAGCATAGTGAGCTGCTGATTTAAAAGAACTATCCATTAACCTAAGAGAGTCACAAAATCATTACTACTGAAAACAATGTTTAAGTTTCTGGGTCATATAGGTTTCCAACAGGTGGTCAGCCAACCAGACAAAATAACTTCTTATTGGTCTTCCTGAGAGTACATGCTGTAGGTTGTGTTTTGAGCATTGTGTGAACGGTGTATGGCGGGTATAGGTTTCATAGATACACTGACCTTGGTTCACCTGCAGAGGGGCAATGCAGCAAGGATTTGAGTCCCTGCCTGAAAAAAGATTTTCTGAGGCAGACCTGGGCTCTTCATCCTCAGTTTTTAGCTGAGCTTAAAAAGCTTACAAGATAAAATTACCAGGTATCAGGCTATTAGATGTACAAAATTGCTTCTCATGCCAATGAATCATTAATATACAATTATTTTTTTAATAGGGTAATCAGGTATGCCTTATCAGTTTCCCAGGGCATAGACTTATTGCATTATAAAGCACGATAAAAGCAGCATTCTGGCAACACCAGACCTGCCCAGTTTAAAACGCCAAGGCTGGCTGGCTGCACGCTGGCTAGCCATGTCTAGCAAGATCACCTGTGACGGAGTACATTGGCTAGTGACGTTAGAGGAAGGGCATAGCTAGGTCATCATGCTGTACCTCCCACTCCTAGCCAGGCTTCTTCCAGAGTGTTTTGCACTGTGTGTCATTCAGCCAGTTACTTGAGATTTTCTGAATTAATATTGTAATTTGGGGTGGGGGAGAGGGTGAGAAATGTTCCTTAAAAAAGTTAAATGTCACTTTCACTAAAAAAAAAATCCAGGTACATTAATTGAAATACTGACTGACAATATAGATCAGAAGCATTATAGGACTGGCATTTCTTCTTTTTCCTAAATGATATTAGTGGTTGCATAGAATTGAAACGATATGGAGAGAGCTTTAGCAACGTGAAAATAACTTGGTTTAACTTTTTTTATTTTAAAGTATTTTTTTTTCATTTTTAAGCAGTTTTTTTATTGTCTTTCCTTCTCCTTCTTTTTCTTTTCCTTTTTCAAACAGCCTACAGCTGATCTCACTAGGTGTTACCTTTCATCTAGTCTTAGTTTAGTTTTGGCTGCCCAAGTTACTGTATAGTGATATCCAGAAAGACCTGAGAACCTGCCTCTGAAATTCAGATACTTTTATGGGATACCTACCAGAGCACTTGAAAACCTAGACACTAAAAACCCAGATCTGATGGAAGATTTTCTGTTAAAGCCATTCCTTTAAATGGGACACCGGCCTTCAGGCTTTCCATAGATACTTTCCTCTACTAAAATTTCAACTAAAAATACACACATTCTTTTCTCACCTAAATTTCTAGGATTCATTCTGCAAATATTTTCACTGTAGATGCCTTCAAGCATTCATTGTCCCATTAACTGCCCAGCACACGCTATGGCTGGGGAGCAGCTATGGGATATTTTTTAGAGTTTGGTAAATGGTGAGGTGTTTGGGACAGAGCATGTTTTCTCATACTCCAGTCTGCCATGTCTGTATTGCCAAATGCTTCTTCTCCTGCTACCGATCACATTACTCATGATATATGTCACTGCTGGTGGTGATGGAAAAGGAGAATGGCCAGAATGACCGAGCCACATTCAATCGTTGTGAAATGTTTTGCCATGAGTTTTTTCTGTACAATTGTTTCCCATCGAGTTCAGTCAGACTCACTTGTAAAAAGGTAGTATTAGCAGCACAGGTACTATGTGGGTACTATTGCCAGCATGGAGCATAGGAACTGATTATTTTCCCTGCATCTGCGCTGGGAGGGTGGCATGCATTGACTTCCTCACTGCCATGGCTAGATTGCAACCAGGACTCCAATTAACTTGCTTAACTCTAGCTATGACATCTCTGTAGAGCATACTAGTTGAAGAATAGACAAGCTTTTCCAGCTGAAAACTGGAATAACCTACTGCAGGTTGGAGGCAGGCACCCTAGCACCCTGCCACCACTGCCACTAATCTCCACCTGTGGCACAAGGAGAACACCCACAGATGGTGATTGTCCTCATGACAATCTGGGGAAAGCACCTGCAGAAAGTGCCCCCCACCTCCAAATGCCACCAATGCTCCAAAATGGTCAGGCCAGATTCAAAGGTCCTGCAGGCCATGGGTTGGTAATCTGTGCTGTAATCATTTTTGTGTCCGCAGCATAGACATACCATGAGTTAAACCACTGCAGCTCACTTGTAGGTGGGGCCTGCAGCTGGAGATAGAAATATTAGGCTAAAAATAGGAAATCTTTAGCCTAATTACACAGTTCCCCAGGAAGTGAGGCTATTGTCTTATCAACCATAGTGTCTGGCGTTTCTTCCACAGGAGAAGAAACCCTGCCTGCTGCTTGAGCTTCCATGAGTGTTATCCAGTAGGAAGTGTGCGCATATGCCACCAGGTATTTGGTTCTTGTCCAGGGCTTCAGGCGAAGCTGCATGGACAGGAAATGAAGAGTGAGAATGAAACTTATTCAGCGGACTTCATTCTGCTGGGATTCCTGAGCCGGACCAATGTACACATGTTCTCCATGACCATGATCTTATTAGCCTTCATTGCCACTTTGTCTGGGAATGCTCTTCTCATACTTCTAATCCAGGTGGACTCATCCCTTCACACCCCCATGTACTTTTTCCTCAGTCAACTGGCCTCTGTGGACATCTGTCAGACCCTGATTGTTGTCCCCAAAATGGCAGCAGACTTCCTGACCCCAGGCAACCCCATTTCTGCAGCTGGCTGTGAGGCTCAGATTTTCCTTACGCTGACAATGGGTGGAGCAGAGTGCCTCCTCCTGGCAGTCATGGCTTATGACAGGTATGTAGCTATTTGCAACCCCTTGCAATACCCTCTCCTCCTGAGCAGGAGAGTCTGTGAGGGCCTGACAAGTGGGGTCTGGATTGGGGCATCTGTAAATGCCTTAATTATTACAGCTTTTATTATGCACTTGCCCTATTGCAGCTCTAAAGAGATTAATCACTTCTTTTGTGAGGTCCCAGCCCTGCTCAAATTGTCCTGCTCTGACACATCCCAATATGAGACTCTGCTGTTTGTGTGTAGCACCATTATGTTCCTCATCCCTTCTTCCACTATCCTAGCCTCTTACGCTCACATCCTTGCTGCAGTCCTAAGGATGAGGTCTACCAGACAGGAGAAAGCTCTGGCCACCTGCTCCTCCCACCTGACTGTGGTTTGCATGTTCTACGGGGCAGGCATCTTCATGTACATGAGACCCAGCTCCTACCACTCCCCAGAGCAAGACAAGATTGTCTCTCTATTTTACACCATTGTCCCCCCAGTACTGAATCCACTCATCTACAGCCTGAGAAACAGGGATGTGTTACATGCCCTCAGAAAATGGATTGGGAAATGCAGACACTTCCAGCAAGATTGACAGAAGTTGTAGCTTACTATGTGCTTTGTCTCATTAAACCGAGCAGGCCTCCAGCAAGGTTTTCTGGAACATTTAGAAGGAAGCTAAATTTTCGTGGTCACTTAACAGACAGTGCCCTACTGAGAATCACGGGCTTTTGGGCTCTGTCACTTAAACACTCAGAATCAGGTTTGAGGAAATCCATCCCACTCCCTCAGATCACTGGTGTTCTTCTGTTGCAGGCGATTTAGCCAAATTATTGCATACACTGAAGACTTTGTAGGGGATTGAAACTTTGTATTTCGGTTTCACTCTGCCCAAGCCCTCCTATAGGAAATAGGTCAAGTGGCAGGCCAGCAAAAAAGATCTGGGCCCCGGGATAAAAGGCTTCTGAGGAAAGATTGTAAAAACGGTGACAGGCCAGCAAAAAAGATCCGGGCCCCGGAATAAAAGGCTTCTGAGGAAAGATTGTAAAAACAAGGGTTATTTGGCTGTACAAGTGATGACTGATGGGGGGATTTGATAATAATCTTGAAATACGTGAAGAGTGTTTATAGAGAGAATGGAGATGGGTTGTTCTTTGAGGCTGTAAGGAACAAGCCTAGGAGCAATGGCTTCAGGCTGCAACAGGGGAACTTGAAGATGGCAATTAGGGGGAACTAGCTGGCTTCGGGTATGCTCAGGCATTGGATCCGGATTCTCCATGCTTGGAAACTTTCAAAAGCAGGTGAGACAGACACTTGGCTGTGGTAGTTTAGTCAGGGTTGAACATGTCTTCAGTAGGGGCATGGACCAGAGGACCTGCTGAGGTCTCTTTCAGCCTATGATCCTAAGTGCTTAGCTGTAGATCTTTCCAAAAAACTATTTTTAAGAGCAAGGCATGATACTTTATGTCTGATTCCTGTCTCGATTGCATTGTTTTTTTTTCCACCAGAATCACTCTATTGAGGTGTGAGGTGGTGTTTTAATTAGAGTGACTCCCAGACACTTGCTCTAATAAACCCCCCACAGCATCACTTATATTAAATCCCCATGTATTTAGAACTCCAAAGAGCAACTGTCTAGGAAGCCATAGGTTTTACAGAAGAGAAGAAAAGCTCTATTTTCATGGTATCATAGTACTTAGGGTTGGAAGGGACCTAAACAGATCATCAGGTCTGACACCCTGGCCGGGACAGGGATGGCTGCCTGGATCCCATCCCCCCAGCCAAATATCTGTCCAGCCTCCTCTTGAAGACCCCCGAGGTAGGAGAGAGCACCACCTCACTTGGGAGCCCATTGCAGAGCCTGGCAGCCCTAACTGTAAAGTAATGTCTCCTGATGTTCAGCCTGAACCTTCTCTCTAACAATTTCTGGCCGCTGTTCCTAATAACACTGCGTGGTGCCTAGGGGAACAGAGCCTCCCCCAATTCCCGCTGGTCCCCCCTGCTGAGTTTGTAAATGGTCACCAGATCCCCTCTCAGCCTTCTCTTGTGGAGGCTGAATAGATTCAGGCCCTTTAGCCTTTTTTTGCAGGGCCTGCAAGATCCCTTTCTGCCACCATGTTGACAAGAAAGGTGTTCCCCAGCCTATAGGTGTGTAACTGGTTCCTTCTCCCAAGATGCAGCACCTTGCCCTTGTCTGTGTTGAAGTCCATCCTATTCTCATCCGCCCACCTCTGTAACCTGTCTAGATCTAGCTGGATTCTGTCCCTCCCCTCCAGCATGCCCACCTCACCCCACAACTTGGTTTCATCAGTGAATTTGGAGAGCGTGCATTCCACCCCCACATCCAGATTGTTGATAAAGATGTTAGGACTGAGCCCTGGGGGACTCCACTGCCCACATCCCTCCAGGTCAAAAATGACCCCCACCACTCTCTGGGTATCAGTATCTAGCTATTTTGCCACCCATCTGTGTAGGCAGTCACCAAGTTTTTTTTTTTTTATTTTTATTTTTTTTTTTAAAGAAATTGTGGTGAGAAACCATGTCAAAGGCCTTCTTAAAGTCCAGGAAGACAATATCCACCCCAACACCCTCGTCCAGCGACTTTGTGACCTGGTCATAAAAAAAAAAACAGGTTAGTCAGGCAGGACCTGCCCTCAATGAACCCATGCCAGTTGCCCTTGAGCATTACCTCCCCTGCTGGGCCCTTGCAGATGTGCTCCTTGATAATTTTCTCAAAGTTCTTCCCAAGGACCGAGGTAAGACTGACTGGCCTATAATTGCTGGGGTCCTCCTTTCTCCCCTTGTAAATGGGGACCACATTGGTCCTTTTTCAATCCTCTGGTACCTGACCAGTTGCCCACGAGCACTCATAGATCCGTGCCGGGGCTCTGCTATGACTCCTGCCAATTCCCTCAGCACCCTTGGGTGAAGAGCATCTGAACCTACTGATTTAAACATGTCCAGCCCCTCCAAAAGTTCCCTAACTGTGTCGTCCCTGACGCTAGGCATGGCGGTGCCTACCTTGGGTCCATCCACAATTCTAGTGGGGGAGAAGTTCCGGTCCCTGTTCAGGAATATGGAGGCAAAGAATTTGTTAAAGTGGTCAGCTTTTTCATTTGCCGCAATCACCAGATTGCCAAGCCTATCCTGTAGGGGCCCCACGTTACCCGGTGCCTTCTTCTTAGTTCCTATGTATTTGAAAAGGGACTTTTTATTATCCTTAATTCTGGTCGCTAGCCCTAGCTCCATCTCTGCCTTGGCCTGCCTAACAGCCTCCCTGATAAACCTGTTCTATTTAGCAGCTTTATTCATGAAAAAAGACGGTTACCCAAGAATCTGTGTAAGCCTATGTAAAATAAATTGCTTTGATATATTCAAGAGATCATGAAAAAGGGCAACAGGGAGAAAGAGGAAGCTTTTGAGGTTTACATCGATGGCAAGAATGCAGAGCAGTAAATGAAAACAACTGTGTCCAATATTCCTTTCTTTGTGACTGAAAGAAATGGAGCTGATGGGTAGACAGAACAAAATGAATGCACAACATTAATGAAATAAAGGAATTTTTCATTAAAAATGAATAAAATGTTGAAAAATGTTAATAAGAGTGCTTATTCTCAAAGAAACAATGGAACAATTTTGTGAAGGCTGGCTATCTTGTCATATTCCCAACTTCACCTAAAAAACCGAACAAACCAATGTGCTAGGTTCACAGAGCATTCCTCCATCTGCCCTTGAGAAGAAATCTCTACAATCTCCTTCTGAGATGTTGAAATCTCTACAATGTCACTGAGGGCAATGTATTATAGGTCAGCCTGCGTGTCCCCCTGAATTGTGAGTATGGGTGAGAAAGAAGAGGCCATTTTGTTCATGGTCCTCATGCATAATGATGGATGAACCTGTTGATAGTGGAGCTGGCTCTGAGACTAGCCAAGCCATGGTTCCCAGAAGAGGAAAGTTGTTGAAATGAAATGTGGCTTCAGGGAAACAGTGACCCCAGACTGAATGCCAAGGCAGAGAGGGGAGACATAGGATCCTGCCTGTAATAATCTGGGCAACATTGGCCAAAGTAGGCCACTGGAGACCATACAGGCCTGGGGCAACATCTGTGCTTCAGACATTGGGTGTTAAGTGCTTGAAGAAGGTTTCAGAGGAGAGAAATCCCTGCAGACATGCACCGAGACAGAAATCCTGAGTCACTCCTCTGCCTTCTGTACACATGTACAGCATTGTGGTCATAGGCCTGGAGTGGCTGACATGGCCCAGCACAAGCTGTGAGCATGACAAAATTGCACCTAATGTACGTATGACCTACTGAGAATATACAGGTCTTAAGTGTGGTGCCTGTTCCTTTGATACAGCTGAAGTGGGAAGCAGGGGAGGCATCCAGGTGTTTTGTTTTGCATGGCCAGAAAATGATGGCAATGTCCCCATGGAAAACTAGGACTCTTCGCCTGAGTGGTCCTTCACAAGTTCATGTAGAATTTACCTTATGGCTCAGTTCAATGGTGAGTCAAATGACCAGAAGGGAAGAAAGCATATATGACCTCTTATCACAATCTGGCACTTCTGGACATACAGAAATCCTATCTACTTCTGCTTTTATATGTCCGATGGTCATGAGTAGAGACCTATTGAATTCATTGCAGAATTGGGTTTCCCAGCAAATCCTTTAATATTGCAGGTTCCCCTTTGTACCCCCCTGCCAAACACTGCTGATTGGCTGAGGGGCCCCGGTGGCCCTGCTGCTTGTGGCTGACCAGTTGGGAGGCAAAAATAGCACCATATTTAATACTCCAACTTTGGCCTTCCTGCCAATCAGAAGTGAGTGGCAGGGCCCCTCTGCAAATCGGTGTTGGCGGAGGGGTGTGGAGGGGACGGGACATGCCAGGGACCCTGCAGGATTAAGGGAGCTGCACAGCAGACTTCCACTGTGAATTCGGTAGGTCCCTAGTTATGAAGACAAGGTCAGGAAAAGGATACCAGAGGGCATTGAACACGCCTGACAGTGGTGGGGATGTACTACTGGGGCAGTGCAGAGGGCCCTAATAGGCAGCCCAGCCTGGACCAATTTCCTAACCAAAAGAGGCTGTAAGTGGTGGCCCCACTCTGCTATTGAACCAGCTGGCCACTGCTAGGGCCTCCTGCTGGGCTGCTGGTAATGGCTGTCTCTTCAATAAAGTTCAGCTGTGGCCGGGGGGGGCAGCCGACACTTCTGTGTGAAGATCTGCTGTGGTAAGCTCTCTGGATCCTGCTGGGTCTTCAGCTGCGAGTTTCCAGGTTCTCACTCTGCTCACCTGCATGTCTTGGCTCCGGCTCTTAAAATTTCCTCTTTGCTTTGTTTGCTCACTTCCTGACTCCTGAACCTTGACCAGGGCTCTGCCTCACGTTGGCGTCAATGGATCTTATAGCTACGTCCTTGATTCCTAATCTCTGACTTGGCCATAGACTTGAAGTCCACGCATAGCTTCTGCCTTCTCCCAACAGCCTTCACATTAGGCCAGAACACCTATGCCATGGTCCTTACCGGCAGTCATCTTCATGTGCATGAAACACAACAATTGCCATTGGAAATGTGCAATAAAAGTAAGTTTGGGT